GGGGTGGGGATGGGGTGGGGATGGGGTGGGGATGGGGCGAGGCCTAACCTCTTGTAGGGATTTCTTGCACCTTCTACACCTAGAAGGGTTGTACACCCCACATCCGAGAAAGGCCAAGGCCTCTGCATTTCCACATCTGAGGAAACCATCTCTCTGTATCTGGGAGAGGTCTCTAAGCCCGTCATCGGAGGAAGGCCCCGCGTCCCTACACCTGGCAGGAGACTGAACCTCCTCACCTAGGGAACCGCCTATAGTGCAGTCTCGCACTTCCCTCTGCCACCTGGGTGTGGACTCTGCATTCCTACTTTAGAGGTCCCCAGGTTCCCTGGCCCTAAGAAGTGTGAAAATCTCTGGCAACACAGGTTCTTTGGACACATTTACTGAGTTCCTACCCAGTGTTGGTCGCAGGCTTGCTGCCAGGCTGTTGGGGAGCCTGGGACAGAAATGGAGTGTCCTGAGCGATGGTTACGCCCTGACTGGAATAGGTGCAGGCATGGTGGAAGTGCTGCCTCGCCATCCTAAAAGTTCCCCTAAGAAGAAGATAGCTTGGACAGGAGCAGTGAGGTAGACCTTGTCCTCCCCGACCTTCACAGGCCAGTGATTGTCATCTATTCTGATCCGGGCCTTCTTCTCATCCCGCTTTACATGCTCTCCTTGGAGGATCACATCCCTGAAGCTATATCATGAAGTCTAGTGCTCCCAAGTCTAGCCTTAACTTCTCTCTGGAATCCTAGACTCATTTACCTAAGTGCCTACAGTAATGGGGACGGTATTGATTCCTGGTTCACTTACTAACTTTGTGATCTTGAGCAAGTTAATCTCTCTTAGCCTCAGCTTCCTCATCTGTAAAATGGTTGTAATACTAGCTACCTCTCAGGGTTGTTATTCATTAACTTATGCCAGATCGACCACATCTCAGCAAATGCCAGCTGATACAACCCCCAGGACCATGTGACTAAGAGGCCCCTTCCCCCAATCCAGTGCCATGAAATTCACATAAGACCCCTATAAATCCAGAATGCTATCTTGAAAAGAAGGGAAGAGTGAGTCATCCAAAGCTACTAAAGTACTTAGAGACTGTCTAAAATAAATTATTGGATCCTATAGAGTTTACCAGAGTGGATTACTTTTAGCTCCCCACCACTGCCCATTACCCAGCAGGGTGAGGGCATTGTGAGAAAGATCAGACTAGTTATAGGAAACAGAGGAGACTTAAATCATTGCACATCTGAGTGTAATGTGAGCGAATTTTGTGACCCAGCTGCAGGAGTTCAGATTTTATCCTGAAAACAGTGGGGAGCCACTGAAGAATTTTTGAGCAGAAGAGTAATGTGATCATATCCAGAAATTAGTAGGATGATTTGGGCTATGGTGTGGAATGGGGGCTTGAAAGCATTTGAGAGTGAAGGCAAGGATTAATGATGAGGGACTGAAATGATGGAGGGGAAAAGTTGTGGAGAGAAAAGGAGAGCATTGAGGATATTTGGGAGCTGCTGTTGGTGGGACTTAGAGACCTAGAGGATAGGAGAGGTAAGCAGGAAGGAAAAGTCTGGGATAACTCCCAGGTTACTGACTAGGAATACTGTGATGCCATTTACTAAATACACAGGTTCAGGAGAGAGGTCCAGACTAAAGATAATATTTTGTGAGTTATCAGCAAAAGAGTGGTAGTTAAATGAGAAAAATAGATTAGCTCACCCAGGGAGAGTGAGAATTAGTTTAAGCAAAAAGATAAATTTATAATCAGATACTGAAACCTAAGGGCAAGGATGACTCAGGAACAACTGAAACTGAGAGATCAAAAGTCACCCAGAAGAGTTCTCTCTCCACCTCTCAACGCTGTTACTTTCTGCCTGCCTCCATTTCCCTCCCCTGCCCCAAGTCCCTGTCCTCCCCATCCCCAGACTGACTTCCAATGTTCTTCTAGTCCACATGGTAAAAAACGGGACTTCAGACAATTCTAAAATTTTAAAGTTTGTTGCGTAGGCATCCAAAGAGACTGGCTGCTGCTGCTGCTCCTGCCAGCTCCTCCTCGTCCCCTCCCTCCCTTCCTTCTTCTTCTTTTTTTTTTTTTGTTTGCAAATTTTTCAGGAAATATTTTGATTCAACTTAGATGCTTACCTCTGGGCCGGGCGCGGTGGCTCAAGCCTGTAATCCCAGCACTTTGGGAGGCCGAGACGGGCGGATCATGAGGTCAGGAGATCGAAACCATCTGGCTAACACGGTGAAACCCCGTCTCTACTAAAAAATGCAAAAATAAACTAGCCGGGCGAGGTGGCGGGCGCCTGTAGTCCCAGCTACTCGGGAGGCTGAGGCAGGAGAATGGCATAAACCCGGGAGGCGGAGCTTGCAGTGAGCTGAGATCCGGCCACTGCACTCCAGCCCGGGCGACAGAGCGAGACTCCGTCTCAAAAAAAAAAAAAAAAAAAAAAAAAGATGCTTACCTCTGGACTAATCAATGGTAGTCAAGGGATGAAGATCAAAGATCAAATTGATTAACATGATAACCCTATGGGTAGTGAGGAGGTGGAGGTGGTGGTTTCCAGGGGAAGGAGCATCATAAAGAAGGAAAATGGCAGGTGTCCATACAGTCCACCCTTTGTTTGCCCAACACATACACATTATTTCCTATTACATGATTCCAAAAAGGCCCTCATCTACATAATCCAATCATCCTATGATACAAATGCCAATAAATTCGCCTCTTTACAATGGAGAACAATTCAGTGACACACCCAGCTGCTGCTTCTGGAGATCATAGCATAGGTTCACTGTTCTTCAGATATAGGTTCTCCAGGTAATGTCCCTTCATGCTCTAGTGAGGTCTCCATGAGGTAGGAAATGTGGCTTCTAATAATCCCACTACCTTTTAACTTCCTTTGAACTATCTTTAAACTACTCCCCCTATGAAAAAGTCCTGATATGTAGAGATAGAAGAAATAGAGAATAAAATGGGGTGAAAAGGAAGCACTGTGCATTGGTCACTAATCCAGAACATCATCTACTGTAGATTTTTTTGGCCATGAATAATAATGAAATGATGGGATTAGCAAATCTCATGGCATCTGTTGACTTGCTCCTTTGGCTGTGGAGTTCCTCGGTCAGCCAATCTGGCTGCCTTAGTTTTTGCCCACAAGGTAGAAATCCCTTATCCAGTGTTTTGAGAAGGCCATTATGGAGGATTTCTCTGTGCAGCACTGTACTGATTAGCACTACACCTTCTGGTGGTGTTTTACAGATTATCCTGGGATTGAACAATCACAGAGCTCTACACTTAGGAGGATTGGATAAGGGCTTTTCCCTCAACAGGTTATGCAATTCTTTTAAAACCATAATCAGCTGCCTATCAATTTCATTTGGAGATATTCCATTTGCTAATAACATGTTGGATTGGTTCTAAGGTGCACTTTTTTTTTCCAAGTTTAAACAACTATGTAATCAGAATGTGTCTTACAATTAATAGCATGTAATCATTTTTTAGCCTCTTCTTTTTTTTTTTCTTTTTTATTTTATTTATTTATTTTTTTGAGACAGAGTCTTGCTCTGTTGCCCAGGCTGGAGTGCAGTGACACAGTCTCGGCTCATCACAACCTCTGCCTCCCGTGTTCAAGCGATTCTCCTGCCTCAGCCTCCCAAGTAGCTGGGACTACAGGCGTGCGCCACCATGCCCGGCTAATTTTTGTATTTTTTAGTAAAGGCAGGGTTTCACCATGCTAGCCAGGCTGGTTTGGAATTCCTGATCCACCTGCCTCAGCCTCCACAATGCTGGTATTAAAGGCAAGACCCACTGCACTGGGCCCTCTTTTTTCTTAGTCGTTTATACAATAACTTGCCTCTTATAATCAATGAAATCTGAGATTATTAAATATAGTAATTTTATCAGTCAGGGTTCTTTTTCACAAATAATAGAATCCATTCCGGATAAAGCAGAAAAATGATTTGTTAGAAAAGATTATTTAGCTCAAAACTGTTAGGAGGGCTGGGGAAATGGACTTGAGGCTAAGATCCTAGGAACAACACCCAAATCATACCACACACCTGAAGGGGAAACCACAGCCATTGCCACTCCGAATACTAAGTACCAAGAGTTCAATTTGACTGCCAATTTTACAATCTCTATGGCCCTTCTGTGTCAGGAACTCAATATTGCAACTACTGGGAAACCACTGCTGTTGCCGCTACCACCCCCAAAAGCTGGACACTTGTGTTACTACTGGCAACAGCAGAAATCGAAGCCCTGTGTCTAACCTGC